CCTGGGAGGAGAGGCGGAAGCGGAGGAACCCTGTCCAGTGACCGTGGGAGGACAACCCACTCCCCTTACGAGGAACGGAGCAGGACCAAGGGTGGTGGGCAGCAGGCCGACCGAGGCTCCGACCGCACCCCTGAGCGCAGCCGCAAGGAAAACCACTCCAACGAGGGGACCAAGGAGTCGAGCAGCAACTCCCTCAGCAACAGCAGGCATGGGGCTGAGGAGCGGGGCCACCACCACCACCACGAGGCTCCAGACGCTGCCCACGGGAAGAAGACCCGTGAGAGCGAGCGCAACCATCGGACCACGGAGGCTGAGCCGAAGCCTCTCGAAGAGCCAAAACATGAGACCAAAAAGCTCAAGAACCTCTCGGAGTACGCGCAGACGCTGCCGCTGGGCTGGAGCGGGCTGCTGGTGTTGAAGAACAGCTGCTTCCCCACATCTATGCACGTCCTCGAGGGGGACCAGGGTGTGATCAGCGGGCTCCTCAAAGACCACTCTTCGGGGAGTAAGCTGACTCAGCTGAAGATTGCCCAGCGCCTCCGACTGGACCAGCCCAAACTCGACGAAGTCACGCGACGCATCAAGCAGGGGAGCCCCAATGGCTACGCAGTGCTGCTCGCCACGCAGGCCGCCCCCAGCGGGCCTGGCACTGAGGGGATGCCCCTGGTGGAGCCAGGCCTACAGAGGCGGCTTCTCAGGAACCTGGTCTCCTACTTGAAACAGAAGCAGGCGGCCGGTGTGATCAGCCTGCCGGTGGGTGGGTCCAAGGGCAGAGACAGCACGGGCATGCTCTACGCCTTCCCGCCCTGCGACTTCTCGCAGCAGTACCTCCAGGCGGCACTGAGGACCTTGGGCAAGCTGGAGGAGGAGCACATGGTGATCGTTATAGTGAGGGACACTGCCTAGCCCGGACGCCTCCCAGCGCCATTTGTGTCACAAAAGCAGTCATTTTAGAACCTGATCCGCTGCCTCAGTCCTACCCCCTCGGTTTGACTTTTCTGCTGGGTTGTTTTGGTTCATTAGGTGGGAGACCAAAGTCCTGTCCCCACCAAAACTGAGTTCTTAGGTTTTGGGGATTTTTTTCCCGTGATGAGAAGGGACTCCTGTCATGTTGGTTTCTGGTGTACGAGATACTGTCTGCTGTGTTCTGTATTTTTTTTATTTTTTGACTAACTGTATGGAAAGTTGTCAGTAAAGCCTTTGTCAGAGGATGGATTTTTAATCCTGTTCAGAGTCCTGGTTTAATCAAGTTTTTTTCCCCTCAAAGATGGAAGACCTTTCCCACAAAATGCCCTACGTCATCTTTCTGGCACCGGTATATCGCCAAGTCCTGCTGCGTTGGTGGTTCTCAGCCCCTCAACTCCTTGGGCTGAGTCAGAACTGGATTCACAGTGGTTTTCCATCTTGGCTGAGAGCAGGCAGCTCCAGTTTGCACGCTGCCATGGCAGCTGAGCAGAGCTCATGCAGAGGAGGGGGTGTGCCTCGGGTCCATAGGGAGCAGCTGCGGTAGTTTTTGGTTTGGGTTGTTCGGCCCTAAACAGCTGGTGTGCCCGTCAGTTTGAGCTGTAGCTGTTGGACAGAGCACCCCATCTCAAGGCCTTTTCGGAAGCAGGTGGTCTTTAGCAGCTGTGTGATCTTAATGTTGCTGCCCAAGGGTCTTGGTGCTACAGATCCGTGCGGACTCCCTCTTGTTCAGCCTCCCTTCTCGCCTTGATGCGGCCACCCAGGGACACCCAGTTGGACACGAAGCTGTCAGACTCCCAGGGACACTAGAGGCCATGTGCTGGAGTGGAGGGTGGGAGGCAGCTGTGCTTGCTTGTTGAACTTGTGAATTCCAGCGCTCCCTCGGGTCGCTCAGAACTGATGTGTCATGTGGAGGTCTGTGCCGAGTCCCTAGAGCTTTGTGGGGGACACTGAAGATTTTTGTGATGCTGCCGTGGAGGCAGCAGGTGAGGAAGATGCTGTGACCAAACTCTCCCAGGTGCAAGGTGAGTGAGCCTAGGCCTCTTGCCCGGATACTGAGGAGGTGGAGACCCTGGGAGATCGGTGCTCTGTGGGGAACCGTCAGCCTTGGGGTGCTGGGCGTGCTGGAGCTCAGCCCCTTTCAAGCCGGGCTGGAGGGGCGTGGAGGCGCTTGAGCTGGGAGGGGAGAGCACTTGAAGCATCACGTTGTCATCACGCGTGTCTGATGAGAGTATGGCCAGGTTGTCATGGGGGAACACAGCCCGAACACCATGAGATGTTCGTGTGGAGGTTGGGATGGTCCAAAAGGGTCATTGTCAGGGATGAGGGAGAAGGGAAGCTCCAGTGAGAGAAACGTGCCCCCAAGTGACCAGGGACTTCGGGCCCAATGGCCAGGCCATGCTGGCAGGTCTGGCACTACCCTAGCTGGCTCTCGGCAGTGCAGCGGACTGCTGGGTGGTTTTGAGGGACAGTCGTGAGGGCCTGGGGATGCCTGTCCACAAAGACAGTGAAGGAGGTGTCTGAGACCTTGAGATTTAAAAGAAAGCTCACAGGAGAATAAGCAAGTTTGTAACAAAACATTCGCACCAAGAAAGAAGTGGGCAACATGTTTATTTGCCTGTTGTGCTGGAGCAAGGGGAGGGGAGGGGCAGGGAAGGGCTGGCCCCACCGCAGGTCTCACACATGCCGCTCACAGCCAGAGCAGCAGCGGGGTGCCTGCCGTGTGGGCGCTCAGGACCCAGAACACCGCCTCCGGCCCTCCCCAGACAGACGCCTGGGAGATCTGGCTGGAGACACTGCAGCCTCGCCTTGTCCCCCTTCAGGGCTACGTACGTGTTCTCTGGTCCCCAAGAGAACTAGAGTTTTGGTGATGAGCCACAGCCTGGTTTGTGACCTCCCTCCTGCCACTCAGACCCTCTTCTCATCACTTCCTTCAACTCTTAAGACACAACAGGTGCCGTGACCTGCAGGGCCGGCAGCTCAGGTGGGCCAGGCCCGAGAGGAAAGGCAACTGCAGGCGCCAGCGCCTCCCGGGTCCCCTCTCAGGTGCTACTTAAAGGCAAAACCAAGAGGAGGCAACACTTGCCCCGGTTTCCTCCTAAGTGACTCGGCCTGCGCCCTGGTGGCAAGGGGATGCGGGCTGATGCCTCCGAGGCCTCTTGGGGCGCTCCCGAGGGTGTGTTGTCAAGACAACCAGAATTCGGCGGAGGCCCCCTCTCCCCCCGAGAGCCCCAGTGCTCCCAAGAGCTCCTGCCACAGTTCAGGGAAACAGTGGCTCCGATAATGACTAGAAGAATATAGTGCTTTTGCTATTTCTTTACTTTTAACCCGTTTTCTTCTAATCCATTCAGCACCAGCAAACTATTCTACTGGTTAGTGTTAGCGACCTATTTAAGCTGAGGCATGACGCAACTTAGGAGCCGAGACCTCTGCTCTCTAGAGGACCAAGAGGTACCTGAGCGACACAGGCGCTTCGGTGTGTGACAGCTTGTGTGGTGCTCCGAGCCCAGCAGGGCTTCACCAGCCCCTGGTGAGTTTAGCTGTCTGTCTTGCTTGTTTACTTCACAACCAAATGTGTCCCCTCTTCTCTGAGCTACGTACCTACATGATAGAAACCAAGAAGCTGTTACTTGGGCAAACTCGAGGAAGAACGGCATCAGGGTCTCTTATTATGGTGGGGAGGTGGGAGTGGGGTGTGGGGGGAGTGTAAAGTTAAGCACCTGGTATGTCCTTGCGGTAGCACAGTTCAACCCAAGGCCGATTGCAAGAGCCTGTGAAGTAGCTGCAAGCCCAGCCTGCCAAGCCCCCGCTGCCCCTAAACTGCAGCTGCTCCCACACTCAACACTGCCTCCCAGGGAGCAGCATCGCCCTGAGCTATGGCCAAAGTGCTGCCACTCCTTAGCTCTGCCAGCTCCTCCCTCCCAAACGTCCCAGGACCCTAACTTTCCAGCCCCCACCTGTGCTCCAGAGCGGCCTTCCTGGTTCAGAGCCGGGCAGACAGGTGCCCACGTGGGCAGGGTCCTGACGCCTCCCACAGCCCCGTGCAAGGTGCTCTTACGGAGACAGTCTGGGGGTGCAGGCCAGGCCGGGGCAGGCCTGGGACTGAGCCCCTTGCCTCCCCAGAGAGCTTTTCGGGCAGTGTCCTTACCACCGTGCCGACTGCCTCTCGGAAGGCGTCTTCTCTCCTGCACGGCTAGAGCTGCAAGGAAAGGGACAGACCCCACTTTGGTAAAAGGACAGGGAAAGGCCATAAGCAAAGACAGGCTTGTAGTTTATTTTGTATTTTTTTAAATAAATACACTTTACATTAAAGAAAAAGGCCTTTGATTTGTAATTTCCACATTGGGGAGAAAGGAAAAAAAGATTTTGAAAAACTGAAGGACAAAGGAAACTAGAGGGAGTGAACTCATATCCTAAGTTCCCTCAACTCCACGAACCAGCATCCACACTGCCTGCTGCCCAGCCCAGAGCCGGTGAGTCAGCCTTCCTCCCACCCCTGGCCCAGAGGAGAGCAAGTCAGCCTGACAGCTTGTGAGGCAACAAAACAGGTTAAAAATCATATATTATATTTATAATAAAATAGTCTTCATCCTTATCAATTTAAGAAACCACGATTTTCCTTTCACTTAAATACGTGTGTAAAAATGCCTCCGCATTGTTCTTTAGACGTCATTTTCTTCCGCAGAAAATGCAATGGGACAAGGACCTGGTGGATATAAGTTCATACCCTCAATTATAAATGCTTGGCTTTTTTTTTTTCTTTTTAAGTTTTATAAAAAACTATTTCTTGTTCTTTAAGTAAAGAACATTATACAAAGAAAATATATTGTGAAATGACCCCAGAAACAAGTTTTTCCCTAAAGGAAAGGTGTGTCCATCCTAGGAGAAGGGGACAGACTAGGCCTGACCCCTGGGGTCTTGGTGGCTGTTCGCTCTGGAAGGGTCCTCGGGGACTCTCCAAGCCACAGTCCTCTGAGTGCAGGCCATGCAGTTCCTTAAGGACATAGCCTGGGAGGAAGGGAGGGAAGGTGTTGTGAATTCATTTGACTCAGGTTCTCGCCTGCCAAGAATCTTCCACGTGGTGATGCTCCTCACTCATTCAGAGATAAGATGATGTCATCTTCCAGGTCAGAGTTGTCAGAGCTGTCGGCTGCAAGGTAAGCAGAGGGAGAGGCCAGGTCACCCACTGGGCTTCTAGGAGCTTCCAGGAGGAAGCCCCTGCAGGTGCATACATGTGTGTCTGGGACTAATTACCTTTCCAGAAAGAGGAAAAGGCACCAACCACCCCTTGGAGCAGGCTCTGGAGAATCCACTTCTTGGCCACTGTCACCCCTGGGACCTCCTGCTCTCTCACCTCTCAGAGGGCCTGAATGTGGTATCCTCTGAGTCCTAGAGGCTCGTCCTGCCTTAGAGACCCTTAAGGGACCCCGCAAGCCCCCTCAAGCTTCTACCCGTGGTGCTTTGAAAAGCTGCAAAGGGGCAGGGCTGAGGGGAGCAGTGGGAGCCCCACAGCCCTTGGGCCTCTGGAGTCCTTCAGGGCCGGGCACAGGCCTATCTGAGCCCAAGCAAGAGGAGATTTCTCGTTAACTCCTTAGCCCCTCTTCCCAAAAGAGCTCAAGGCAGAGATTATCAACCTGGGATTCCGTCCCCTGCAGTTTCTCAGTCTAACCTGCAGGGAGCAGACTCCCTAAAGCGGGCAGGCTGCAGCAGTAGCAGTGCCTGGCACCTGTGCCTGGAGGCAGCGGGAGGAGCTGGGATGCCCCAGAGCTGTGTCTGGCTGGCCACAGTGGGAGAGAAGCCTAGTAGCTAACTCCTAAGGACTCTGGTTAATTGGCTGAGTGAAGAAGATAAGGGGAAGGCCTAAGGCCCGTTTTGATTACTCACAGCTACGAAATGGTTTTTAACAAGGGCTCCTGGAGAGTGGACAGACCCTGCCCTACAGCCTCCCAAATGCCCACGGGCCCTGAAGTTCCCGCAGGAGGGGACGGCTACTGGGCCCAGATACTGAGAGAATCGACTCGGAAAAGCTGAGGAAGTGTGTTCCCAAACCTTCCTTCATTCACTACAATCTCCTTTAGGAAGAAAACTGAAGTGGATAAAGTCAAGTCAGGAAGAGCATGGCTGTGATTCAAGAAAGTCCTGAGAAGAAGCCAAAGAGGTGGCTGGGAAAACCAGTGTTCCTGGTCGAAAAGGCACCACGTGGCCTGTTGGAAACGGGTGGGAAGATCACAGAACTAGCAGCTCATCACTCGGCCTCCTTGCTGCCAGCACTCGGGAGGAAGTGCAGTGGGGAAGGGCAGGCCTGCTCCCCAGAGCCAAGCTCGTATCCCAAGTGCCCCTGATATGAGCCACCGTTGCCAGACCAGCTCCCTGAACCTGTCCTCCCAGCCCGAACACCTGCGCCTGGCCCAGGACTAAAGCTACTGGAGGAGGATCACGGCCCAGCCCTGAAGCACGTGAGTGTCAGGTACAGGGCTTGGTGCTCTGGGGTCAGGACTCCCCCCTCTGCCTCCCTCAGCCTTTTATCACCTCTAAGTGCTCAGAGACCTTGGTCAAGCCTTCTCCTTCGGAAAGGCCCTGAGGCAAAGGCCGTGTAGATGGAAACCACGTTTGCAATATTTAGCCTGTTGCTCTATAATACTGGCTTTGGGGGGCAGAACTGACTGGAACAGAGACCTCAGCTAAGGAGTTTGGGTTCTGCATAGAGAATCCAGCACCAGGTGTGTGCCCAGGCCTCTGTAGGGTTGGGTGGGGCTCAAGGTGTGGTTTTCTAGGCTTGATGGCTTCCGTCAGACCCTAAAAGGTTCCACAAGCCCCAAACAATGAAGCTACTGCTCTGAAGGGTCAGAGTGAGGCAAATGGCCAGCAAACCAAGGGCCCAGGGAGTGTGCCCTCTGCTGTACGAGCGGCTGTGGGTGTAAAACAGAGCAATGGCACACACACTGCAGATGCCACCTCGTTGTCACCACCTCCGCTCTGGAGCCCAAGCTAAAACGTCCTTGAGCTGTCATCTATTACGGCATTTCCACATCACAGATCTTCCCGAGATAAAGTGACATTCTCGCTGCTGATAGAACTAAGGTTTTCCAGATGGTTCGGGGCTAGGAAGTAAAGGTTTCCTAAACTAAACAGGAAAAGCTGGAGGAGGCAGTAAATCATTGGCCACATAGAACTTTGTGGCTTTATATTCCAGTTAAGAAAGAGAATTAGTGAGGCTCACGGCGGGGGCACACCAGCTGCTCCTTAGCCTACCTCACTGCTTGTAATTGGAGGGAAAGGGAACTGGGGCCTATGTGTCACTATTCAGATGACAGAGGTCTGATAAAACTTGCCCTGATATTATCAATACTGTCCCCTGTCCCTTGCCCCTTAGTCTCTCAGTCTCTCTTACCTGGCTCCCTGACCATGGCTAGGGACAAAGCAAGCTTCCTTCACTGAATCACCTTAACCTCCAGCATGGAGAACATGGAAGCTGGTAAACAGCAGATGGACAGACAGAAGGCCCTCCCTCCCAGCCCCACAGGACGGTGAGAAAGACAGTCTTCCCTCAGCCAGCTGCCTTCAACCTTGAGGGCGAGAAGCATGTATGAGATCGCTCTCTCCTGCTCCTGATTATAAAAAACCAAACATCCACTGTAAAGACACTGGCATCTGTTGGGCCTAGGCCAGCACAATACGATTCCCATAGTGATGTCATGTCCTGGGTCCGTGCCCTTCCACGGCAGCTACACGAGGCTCCTGCGCACTTGCAGTGTGGACATGAATGAGGAACTGAGTTTTAAAAACTGCATCACAGTGTCAATGGCCCCGTGTGGCTAGTGGCTGTGCTGGGTGTAAGGCCCTGGCTGTGGGAAGACTGGCCGGGTTAGCTGCACGGAAACGGTGGCTGTCGCAGGGATTACGCCGTCAGACAGGGACACCTCAGAGATGCTGCTTCCCCCCGCCCCGCTCCCCCACCCCCTTCCCGTGTCCTCTGCGAACACTTGTGAGCTGCGGGGCTTGGCAGACCCTGAGAACCGTCAACTGGTTCCTCAAGACGCCTTAGCATGTAGTCAGGGACAGTCTGACTTCAGAAACCTTCCTAGTGGGAAACAGCTGGAAATAGGGAGTTTTTCTTTCTAATTCGGAATGAAGAGGGGGGAGGAAGATAAAAACAGAAACCTGTGCCCCCCCCTCCCCCCGGTCTTTCAGGAAAAGCGGACAGGAAAGGAAAGGTCCCCCACAAGAGGCGTCTGCTGCTTTAGGAAGGAGCGAGCGGTCCAGCAGGTGCCAGCAGGCCCTGGGGCAGAACTGTGTTCAGGCTTCTGTTCTGAGGCTCACCCTCTAGGCAGCCAGGACCATGACCCCGTGTGTCCGGCTGCTTTCACACAACAGAAGAGTTGAGAAGCTGCAGCAGAGACCATGTGGCCCACAAAGTAAAACATTTACTGTCCCACCTTTACAGAGATCATTTGCCAGCCTCCGTTTTAAAGGTGAGAGAGAACAGCTGTTTGGTTACATAGTCTGATGGGAGAGCAGAGGGTCAGAGGTGGGAAAACTGCTTTTCCTCAGGGGCCAGAGGGGGGAATGGACAGTTAAGGGACAGAGAACTCCTGGTGTGGCTTCCACACTGGGCGGGGCTGGCACAGGGAAGGCATCTTCCCCTGGAGGCCCAGGCTCAGCCCCATGGTCGTCCTGGACTTACTGTCCCCCAGGATCAGTTCCACTTCCTCGTCTGCATCAGAGTCTTCATCCTCCCCGTCCTCTCCCTCCTCCAGAAGGTTGGCCAGCTCCTCGTCAGAGGGAGAGAAGTCATTGTCCCCATCCTCCCCTGCGTTCTCGTTGTTGTCATCCTCCTCCAACTCCGCCTCCAGCAATTGGTCAGTGTCAAGGTCATCGAGATCATCAGTGTCATCATCATCTTCATCGTCATCTTCCTCCTCCTGCTCCTCCTCCTCCTGGTAAGAGAGTATTAGGTCCATTAGGAGGAAACAGGCCTGGCCAGGGAGTTTGCCCGACTTCCCTAAGGACGGGAGGGAACTGCCAGTGGAGAGAGTGGTTAGCACAGACTTCAGGGCCAGCAGACTCATGGTGAGGCAGCCACCAGCATGTGCGTGGCCCCCTAGACACCAGACGAGGATGGCTACTTACTCCACGAAGGCATTACCGGTCATGCAGCTCTATCCCAAGAAATAGGAAACTCGCTTTACAGAGGCCTCTGCCACTGACAGTGTGGGCTCCTGGCTAGTATCCCCAAAGGGGCTGGCTCTTCTCGGTCCTGCACCAACCGAACCAAGTGAAATCCGAGGCGGCACTGGAACAAAAGCTTCAACCCCTGGAATCTACCTGTTCTTCTACCTAACAACACAGGAAGAACACAGCTGCTGAGCCATCAGCTCCTCAGCCCTTCACGTTCTTGCCAAGGACGTGGGTAGACCTGGAACAGTGCTATCATAAGCAGCGCCTGAACCAAACAAAGCAGACATTCACCGTCCAGACGCTCACAGATAACCCATGTTCTGTGCTAGAGAAACTCCACGCTTGCATTCTGCCAGATTTCGACTTTGCGCTAGTATCCAGTTTCCCTTCAAGCAAGAGAGGACACAGCGCCTCTTAGCCTCTTAGCTTTGACAGAGACGACAGGTGTTTCCAAGTAAATGTCATTAACACTCAGTCACTTATCCTCCTGCTCAAATATCAACAGCCAGCTTGGCCGGTAGGAAAAAGATTCTACTTCCTGCAATAATAAAATACAAAATCCATTTACTCCAGCAGCCAGCTCACCGCATTCTCCCTCCTCCTGCCATCTCCAGTCTCTACAGCTCTCTGCGACCTTATCCCTTCCAGAGGCTCCATGACGCTGCCCATCTTCCAGAATTACAGCAAAGCAGTGACTGCTCACTGACCATCTAATACCAACTTCATAGAATCCCAATTTCTTGTTAAGTGAGGTGACTTAATTAAGTCGGTGGCTCTGCTCAGGTGTAAGCATCAGAATCACCTGGGAAACGTTTTCCAAAACACACATGTCTAAACCACACTCAGGGTCCACAGCGCCAGTCCTTACAAATGAAGCTCACACAGGCGGAGCTGGAAAGGCTCCCCAGGAATGGTGAAATGCCCCTAATGAAGAGCCAGAAGCACAAGATTACCTCTGAGTTGTAAAAATTCTACTTTTCTTAATAATAGGTACCCTACCCACAGACCCCCCCTCCCCCAATGACAGAACCTAAAACGTGAATCCAGGTATTACCACGGACTTTCTCTGCTACATCGAGCTGTCCTGTTCTCTAGGACTTAAACAATGTCATCTTTTAAATCAAAATTCTTCGTGAATATATGTCTATTCAAAAGAAATAGCTTTTAGCCTATATTCCCTCCAAAAATATAACCAATCCCTTAGAAAAATAAACGTCTGGTCATACTTTAAGACATGAATCTAAAAATGAGAATAGCAGAATAACTTTTCTAAAAATGTAACTCAAACCCAAGCCTACGTTCTTAATATTTCAACATGTCATATTTTGTAAAACTTAAACTCCTGCTTTTCCTCCTTTTGACATTTGTCCTGGTGTTAACTGTCCTTAAAAGCTACAAGTTCATTTCAGTTGTAAATGCTTGTGTTTTCTCTCCTCACTGACAGAATCTAACGTACATTTTAAACTTTTTAAAAGGAAAAAAAAGGCAGCCTTTCAGGTGTCCCTGACCAGGCTTACAGCAGGAGCATGACCCACAAACACGTCCCACCGCTCCTGGCAGTAGGAGCACCCAGGAAGCACAGCATGCAGTGGTCCTGGGCTCCAAAATGGATGGAGAAAAAGAGTATTAGCCCCCTTTTAATATAAAATTAAGATTATAATTAGTTGAAAAGTATTGGCTTTTCAAAATCTAGGAACAATGATCAATTACTAATCTTTGATTTTGTAATTTTCCTAAAAGCCAACATCAAAGTTGGATTGAATTGATTTTTAAAAACACAAATACCAAAATTCCAGTGGATAACAGGAGCTTTGATAAGTGGCTGGCTTATCTCTGCTCTTATCAAATGCCTGAAGGCCAGCAGCCTAGCAACCTTACGAACCAAAGACTATAGCTGTCAAATTCATACAGGCATTTGTGCTGGGCCATTTTATCAGATGGCAGCTGACCAGTCAGGCTTCTGAGTTTATTTTGCTGAGGTGAAAAGGCAAATTCAAAGGTGCTCCTCACAGGTGCCTGCACCCCTAAGCGATTTAAGTCACACCTGGGACACCTGCGAGCGATACCCAGACTCGGACAAAACTTTAAATAGCAAATGACTCATATGAAAATTAAGACCCGTTTTAAGATCAGGTGAAGCGCACACAGGAAAGGGGAGAAGTGAGGAGAAATGTGCTGGAGACAATAAATGCAGCAAAACAACTGCGTGTTCTCGGAGGGCATGTGAGTCAACGGAATTAAGAAAACTTGCTTAAATAGACATGATCTTGCCCAACTGGCATGGCTCAGTGTTTGAGTGTCAACCTATGAACCAGGAGGTCACAGTTCAATTCCCAGTCAGGGCACAAGCCTGGATTGCAGCTCGATCCCCAGTAGGGGTGCAGGAGGCAGCCAATCAATGATTCTCTCATCACTGATATTTATCTCCCCCTCTCTCCCCCTATCCCACTAAAACTTCTCTAAATCAAAACACCAAGGACTTCAGGGTGAAATCAGTTTTCAAATGATGTCCTTCCTGTGAAATGGACCTGGTAGCAGTAGGTAGGAAATGTGCCCGGACCCTGCACGACGCAGAGGCAATGCTAACTCACCCCTCTGCTCGCCTACCCCCACGCCTCGTCTCCACGCTGGAACGCTCGCAGGCTCCTCCAGACGGGGCCTAAGGCCACTCGTTAGGGCCCCCTGGAGCCTGCTGCTCTTGACCCTCGCTGTCCATGCCCAGGACGCTTTCTTTTCCTTCCTGCCTCAGTCGCCAGTGGGCAGCGTTTACCGAGCAGGGGCAGGCTGGAGGAGAGCACTGGCCAACAGGAAGGTGAGCTTCCTAGTGTCCTGCAGTGGCCCCTCTCCCCACCCAGAGCACCTCTGCCCTTAAAGAGACGACAAGCACCAAAACTAAGCACCACCACAGCGGGAGAAAAAAAACAAAAGGAACCCAAAATCTGGAAAGAAGACATTTACCAGCCTTACTATCTGCAACAAGAAAGCAAAGCCCTGTCATTTACTTTAAACAGGAAAGATCTGCCGAAACTCTTTGGAACTGATACTGACACTCTGCAGGCCAGCCCCTGGCACCTGACCATAAACGAATCCGCTCAGAAAGGAAAAGCTCACATTCCCTGGGGCATCCTACCCACTCAGATTTCATAACTGTTTAATTTCTCACAAGCACCGCAGTCGTCTCTGTACCTAGAAGCTCTCCTGTTATTCTGAAAGTAGACTGCACCACAGAACTGACGTCGGGAAGTCAGCCAGGGCACTGGCCCTAACTTACAGTGGCACGCACAGGACCATCGCGTGCTGGTTAATGTTCTGTAATAAAATCTTCCTTCTGACTTTCAGGGATCAAGGGCACATGCCAGGCCTTCGGAATATGCCAACAGGTAGCAAAGGCTGTTCTTTAAAACCCCTGTAGCGAAAAGCAGAAGAGCATGGCCTCTCTAAACATTAGGAGAAAGAAACTCAGACACTGACCTGGTCCTCCTCCTCGTCCTCGTCCTCTGCCAGGCGCTGCCTGCCCACTTCGTACAGCCTGCACACTGTGTCCATGTTGAGAGCATCCATGCTGCTTTGGTTCTGAAACAGAGCACCCAGTTCACAGGGAGTCTTCAGAAAGCCCACCACACCCCACACCTCGGCTCTGCCTGGCACCCGTGCACCCTGACCCCACAGCTATCAAAGGCCCCAAACTGATTCTAAAAATGTGATACCTAGGACACAGAGAAGGAATGAAAAATAGGACAAGAAGGCTGGGCTAGTGAGGAATATAAACATGAGAGACCACCATGCTTGGAACAAACCTGTCTGGCTCTGGTGAGAGGCAGACACCTCTAAAAAAGCGTGACATGAATCCAAGACAGTAGGAGACAGGACTCTCCACGCTGTTTTATATTAGCATTTTCTTATTCCTCTTATCCTGCAGATCTCCCAAACCCCAGCAAATGCGGTTATCAATAACCTCCCCTCAGGAATGCAGCCACTTTATAACATAGCTCACATCAATCCACATTCCTGTGGGGCAGTGACCCTAAACATCCCAACCAAAGAGCAGGCTTCTGAAGCGCCTTTACCTCGATGACAGCCAGGTAGCAGTCCTTGGTGTCTGTGCACAGGTCGAAGATGTTCCGCTTCACATCGATGGTCGCTGGAAAACAACGCGACAAGGCTCAGGACTGGACTATTGCTGTGACCTTAAAATCCGCTTTTCCTCTCAAGGAATTCAAGGCGATTGGTCACAAATATTTCCATAACTCCTCTGCTTTTCAATGAAAATTACATCATCAAAATATAACAAAACAATCAAGGTCTGCCCCTTCACGCTTACCTATAGGTTTGTAGTCAGTTGCGTTAAATGTTCGGAAGGATGATCCAAAAGGGCTTTTCATCCTCTCTTCCATTAAGTCATCTTCATCATCTGCCTGCAGCATAGCTGGTGGGGAGGAAAGGGGGAAAGAGCAGGGGAGGGCAACACGATTAGAATCAAAACATCCCCTATTCACAGGTGTCCTCCTTGCAAATCCCAGCGAACAGCAAACAATATCCTTAACCTTTCGTCTAGCTCCCAACAAGTGGTAACAGGGTGAAGGTGGACAACATCACAAGACAACAGATGCAAAGCTTTTTCTTTAAGTTCACGATACACATGGGAAATCACTGCATGAAATTTCTTTCTATACAAGATTTACTTATCTTCAAAGTCAGTGGCCTCTTACCCTAAATCAATATATTTTTCATCTTCTTTTTGTCATCATTTGTGTATCATTTTATCTTTTATACCACAACTTTCAAATGCTTTCCAATTCACATTTGAGAGCACTTTCCAAAAAGGAAGTATCAAACTAAGTGAGGGGGGGAGAGAAGGGAGAAAGAAAATAACAAAGAAAGTAAAAAGTTTATTACCTCCATACATCACTGTCCCTGTGTGGTTGAACACTACTCGGCACTGATCCAGAGCAGGAACTGTATGTAAAAGATGGAAAGTGCGAAGGTCCCACTAGGAGGGGGGTTGTCAAGAAAAACTATTTTATTTTATTTTTTTAAGAAAAGCTACTTTATACAAAACTTCTTATCTAACAACCTGGTGGGAATTCTGAAATATTGCTTCCCACCCTCCGCGCCCCTCCCCCCCACTGGCATTGATGTTTTAAAAGTCAATGAGATCAGGGTAAAATAAAAGCATGTTATAGAATAATGTCCCTAAAAATCTCCTTCGGTATCCTCACATACATGAAAGCTACATGAGTTCCCTTCCTCTCAATAGAACTTCATTTTACTCTTACGCCTACCAACTGACTTCTATAGAGCACAAGTAAATCCTTCTGAAGATAGATAAAAGTCACTTCAATACTTGGGAAAACGAAAAGCAGCAATCTGGTCAATTTTCACAACACAAACACGCTAGTGAGAGTCATCGGAATTACCAACAGGGACGTGAGTGCCCTGGAGACGCACTAGCACTTCACACCAAAGCAGAGGCACCAGTGTGACCTGTGTAGATACTTTCAGCAGGTATTGACAGGTATTGACAGGTATTGACAGGGACTCTCTATCACAAAGAGAGAAGTGGAAAGTAAGACCCGCATATAAAGGATACAATCTCACCTCCAGCCCATTCGGATGGAAAACACCACTGATGTTCATGTTGAACTTGTCGAACTTGTGGATGGCCTGCGCAGAGCGGACATCCCAGAGGACGCCATCATTTAAGACCAGATCATCTGTAGGATTAAAGGTGGCACAGTTCCTCTTGTAGTTGTTGGCAAGATCTGGGTTAAACAGAGTCAACAGCTTGTTGCCAGTCTGAATATCATAAATCTTTAGAGAAGAAGGGGTGGGAAGAGAAAAATCAGACCAATCCATTCGTTGACAAATTCAAAGAGAAGTTGTATAAAATATCTTTCCCATGCTTTCCAAAACCCACCAAAATTACAAAAGCCCTGATGTTATAACTGGAAAACAGGAAGACCACAACCATCATAGCCAAGTTTAAGTGCTTTGGTTCCCATTCAAGGTTTGAAGAGTCCTCACAGGGAGGACAATGAGAAGTGTGACTGCAACAGGGAAGAGAAAACCACCTTCTTCCTCCACCCCCTTTCGAGAAACAGAACGTGTTTCTAAGATTGAAACTGAGAGATTCTCCATGTGGACTAACCAGCAATTATCCACAGAGTATCTTAAGGGTAACTTTCTGGGAAAAGGCATTAATGAAGTACCCTTTTCTCCTTAAAATCTCCCAATGTACATACTTTAGCCCTAAATACTAAAAGTTCCAAGTCTACAATGTGCAGCCCATGTAGAGACCAGATCTTTCCCGTCAGCTTACAGACATGCTATAATATTTTCAATCTTTTTTTTTAAAATATATTTTATTGATTTTTTAGAGAGAGGAAGGGAGAGAGATAGAGAGTTAGAAACATCGATGAGAGAGAAACATCGATCAGCTGCCTCCTGCACATCTCCTATTGGGGATGTGCCCGCAACCCAGGTACATGCCCTTGACCGGAATCGAACCTGGGACCTTTCAGTCCACAGGCCGACGCTCTATCCACTGAGCCAAACCGGTTTTGGCTCAATCTTTTTTTAAAAAATCCTCTAATATTGGAACAAATAAGGAGACACCACAGGAAACAAACAAATCCAGATCATGGGACAAGACAACTAGCCTGGTCTCTTCAAAAGTCAATGTCATAAAAACTGGAGAAATGATTCTTGGATTTAAAACATTAGTGAGACACAACAACCAAATGCAACATGTGAATCTTGGCTGGATCCTGGTTCCCCAAAAAAACATTTGAAACCGAACATATCAGGAAAACTGAGTATGGAATGGATATTGGATGACATTTGGGAATTACTATATTTTCTTAACCTGGATAACAGAGTGTAACTATGGAAGAATGTCCTTACTGTTAGGATATACTAATATATGCTGGAAGACAGGAATAAAACATCATGATATTTGCAACTTACTTTCAAATGATTCAGAAAAACACACACATTTACACAGAAATATGGCTAATTATTAAACTGATGAATCTAGGTGACAGGTATATGCACTATTCTTTCAACTCTTCCACATATTTTAACACTTTCAAAAGTTTGGGAGAAATACTTCACCACCCCAAATCCCTCACCTCAAGCTACTACCCACTTCTCTGCTTTGTTTTCAGCAAAACACTTCAAAAGACCTGTCTATACGCAGTGCCATCTGCTTCTCTCCTCTTCTCTCATGAACCCACTCGAATCAGGTTTCTATCCCATGGAAACTTGCATAGAACTAGCTGCTGACATAGTTAACAATGACCTCCATGTTGTTAAATCAAAGGTCACCTCTCAGTTCTCATCGTATGGAACTCGTCAGCAGTTTCAGACCCAGTCCATCCATCCTTTCTTTAAAAAATCTTCCCTTATCTTCCAGGGCACACCTTTTTCCTGGGGTCTCCTGCTGCCTTACTGGATATCTGCATGGCACCCACACCTCCTTCAAGACACCGCTTAAGCACAACAGCTATCCAAGAGTAAACACAAGTACTCCACACACTAACAAGCACTCTCTACCGTTTACCCTGCTTCCTGTTCTTCAGCAACACCTACCTGATACACCACTTATTTGCTTCTTTATTTACTGTCTCCCTAGTGAGTCCCATAAAGGCTGGGACTTTATTTCATCTAAAACTTAGTATTTTAACCAGTTAACTACCATGCATCCAAAACGGAAACCATTCCCACACACCACGATATTTTGAATTTAATTTAAAAAATCAATTTGCAATGAATATTATAAATATATTACTCACAATTCGGGTGTTCTTGAATATTTTTAGCTGAAAATTCTCACAAAAAGTGACTTTAAAGTTGGTCAGAACTGCCACTTAGGGAAAACATTTTTTTACAGACACAGTGGCATGTGGAGAAGGTCTGCAGCTTGCGTCTACTGGCGCTTATGGCGTACAATGGGTTAAAGTATCTGCTGTACTAATGACATCTTCTCAACTTGCCAGATGAAGTCCCTGTTCATTCTCTTTACATTTCGCCTGGACAGCTCAGAACTACCTACTTCCTTACACTTGCAGACCCGAACCAGAAAGACTCGCGGAGTAACTGCTAGTTGCCTCAGGACCTAAGGCCTCACACTCAATCCAGAAGACTCAGTGCAAACAAAGGCCTAACAGTGTGAAAGCAGAGGGCTCAGGACTTACGTGGGCGATATCTCCTTTCGTGCCGATGACGCGGTCCTGGGAGTGCTTACTGAACTCCACGTAGTGATCTTCTGTGAAGGAATGCCTGCGGACAGACAGAAGCACTCAGGCGGCCGCCTCAGGACATAATCACTCAACTGACTGAAAAGAAAGGTGATCCTCAGGCTCATGCCCGAGCACACTCACCTGGAGATTGTCATTCCCAGAGAGGAAAGTATCAGACACTTAACATTAAAAAGAAAATTCCCTTCATCCAAGCAGATGCAAAATCATCCATGGGAATTAGTTGATTAAAGGAATTGCTAACAGCCCTGCCGGTTTGGCTCAGTGGAGAGAGCACCGGCCCACAGACTGAAGGGTCCGGGTTCGATTCAGTTAAAGGGCACGTACCTTAGTAGCAGGTTCCCCATCCCTGGACAGGGTGTTTCTCTGTCTCTCCCTCTCCCTTCCACTCTTTCTAAAAATCAATGGAGAAATATCCTCGGGTGAGGATAAACAAAAAAACAAAACAAAAAAAGAAATGACTAATAAGGCACATGTGCCTTTGAACTATGTCCCAGCAAAGTGTGCAGCTGTCACATGTAAATGGGAGAAAATAAATGATCTGCCATTTTGTTTTGGTTTGGTTTTGTTTTTAATATATTTTATTGACTTTCTTACAGAGAGGAAGGGAGAGGGATAGAAAATTAGAAACATCAATGAGAGAGAAACATCGATCAGCTGCCTCCTGCATACCCCCAACTGGGGATGTGCCCACAAGCAAGGTACATGCACTTGACCGGAATCGAACCTGGGACCCTTGAGTCCGCAGGCCGACGCTCTATCCACTGAGCCAAACCGGTCAGGGCTGACCTGCCATTTTGGATCAGGGAAGGATCTGCTGTGTGACGGGAATGTTTACTCCTAGTCAGCATATCTAGGAATTAAGAAAGTTAAAACCTTATCTTACTAAACGTGAGCCACAGATGAGGAAGAGAGAAACCAGCAATAACTCACAGCATTTCTCTTTTCCCAAAGGCTCTAAGAATCGGATGAAGGGGGTTTAAATAGGTAAACTATAAACACAGAGACTAGGTTGTACAAGTAGATACATACTTCATATCAAACACTGATTTCATTCCCCAAAGTGCAGACAGAGGCTGGCTCCAAGTAGCAGATGTCAGCAGCAAGGACCCGTCCTGAAAGAAGAAGGAGGCCCAACTTGGGGTTCACTATCTGCCATTAGCATTTTAAAATGCAATCTTAAAAATATAGTTGAATTACAAAGAAAAACTCCCAAGAACCAAGAAGTGGTCTGAAAGTGTGAGAATATATGTACATGCACCCTAAAAGTTACCTGCATTTAAGATAACACTAAGTCCTACTGAGCTAGTAATATAAAATACAATAGCTAAGGTAAGAGGGGGAAACTTGGAAAGAGACCAAGATGGTTCCTCGTTTATTAATATTTGGCCATATTCCTCATCCTTGAAATATCAGTGAACTGAAAACATTTGCTACACTTTCTAGCCAGGACCCTTAAAGGTTTTTCAAAGGGAAAACTCAATAAAGGGTAAGCCTCCTTTACTCTAAAATCAGGAAAATTATTCTGTCATCCTAATAGTCCTGACTTTTAGGAATATCAAAGGTATCAATTCCATCCACAAAATAGTTCTAATAAACTATGACCCACTGGAATCATATAATGCTTATTTTCCTAAAATTCACAGTAATTTGAGATTTCGGACATAAAAATTTTTATGTTCACAGTTGGTAAACTCAGTTTCCAACTGAGGCAAATTAAAATACGTACAGATATATACAAACACATATTTTTATATCTATCGATAGATCATAGATAGATACATGGATAGATAATAGATATATCTCCAGGTCTTAGAACAGAGGTTGGCAAACTTTTACTTCAAAGGCCAGATAAATACTTGCTCTGTGGGCCACGTGGTTGCAGGTATTCAACTTTGCCTTTGTAGCACAGAAGCAGCCACAAACAATACATAAACACATGAGCATGGCTATCTATCTCTCTATATATATAAAAGCCTAAGTGACCATCGCAACCGAATGGACGACCAAACAGGCTGCATGGGGCAACCAGGCCGGCAGGGGGCTTAGTTAGAGGCGACCAAACGACGAAGCAGCAGGCTGCGTGGGGCGACCAGGCTTGCAGAGGGGGGGCAGATGGGGGCGACCAGGCCAGCAGAGGGTGGCAGTGAGGGGCGACCAGGCTGGTGGGGCGGAGGGCAACCAGGTCGGCAGGGGGGCAAGGGGCGACCAGGCCAGCAGGAGGGTAGTTAGGGGCAACCAGGCCTAAACCAGCCGTCGGACATCCCCCAAGGGGTCCCAGATTAGAGAGGGTGCAAACTGGGCTGAGGGGACCCCCCACCCCATGCACGAATTTCGTGCACCGGGCTTCTAGTGTTCCAATAAAACTTTATGTACACATACAGGCAGCCAGCCAGCCAATGGGGCCAAAGCTCACCAACCCATCTTAGAAGAATGACTGCAAACAACCTACGATTGGACCCTTACCCTGGAAGGTTCAAGGTGTGTGATGGCCGAGTTGTGACAGTTATAGCTGGCCTCCTCCTGTCCACTAAACACATTGTAGAGCTTCAACTGCCCAGTGCAGGTGCCAAGCATCAGGAACCGCTCCCGGGCTGAGAATGCACAGCAGGTAAAGCCACTCTCATCCTCATTGGCTTCCCGGAACACTGAGATAGGACGGAACCTACGCCAAGGAAAGAGAACCAGAGACAAAGAAGGTGCAAGGACTCAGAAAAAGAAAAAAACACAGAGCTTTTATGTTTCAAATACATCACAACACATCACATGACCTTTAGTAGTTCATTTTCATTTCAAATGAGAGAAAAGGACCTCCATCCACAAGTTTAAACAATAAAGTTCCCATGTTTAAAGCCTACAACCCCGTGACCTTTACCTAAGATTTGTAAAGAACCAAGAGAGACCACTTGGACCATTACAGTAATAAGCTGGGGATCCTAGAGACAGCAGGTCCCACAGGCTCTAGAAAACATACTAGTTGTAATAAGAACACATAGTATTCAATCAATATGTTGAACAGTCACACAAGGAACCCATGGTTAACAAAAGGGAGTACAGTCACATTGCTCATCTAGTCACATAAAGCGACCATCTCTGGTATTTCAGGCCAATAAGGGTTTTCTGGATTAATCACTGCTGATAGGGCCTCCTTACCTGCTAAAGATAAGGTGCCTATCGAAGCACCCGCCATCCACCCCACCATACTTTGGAAACGATGCTCTGCGGTTCAGCCTTGAGGTAAAGTTTATGGGCGCCTGCCGCCTCTGTTTTGGCTCAGGACACTGGTGAGGAGTAAAGAGGGAGAAAGGTGGGCAGGTGGCAACTGGGTTCTTGCAGCGCGCATGCTGCTCTCTCAGATATTCTGTGATGATACTGTCCAGCGTAGGTGGGGAAGGAAGATGCCTGTCCAACTGCTTTTTTATGGCTGGGCTTTGGCTGTAGGCGCCATGGTCCGACTTTTGCCGCAACACTCGGATTTTCCTGCCATTGCAGGGTGATGGTCTCTCTCTGATAAAGCTGATCCTACCAATCAAAGGGGAGTTGCCCGCGTAAGACGGGCCGGGCAGAGCTAGTGAGCCCTGGGGGGGCCGTGGCTGAGGATGGGCAGTGGGGGCAGGAGGGGCAGTGGCACCCACAGCCACATGGCTGCCCAGTCGAGTTGCAATGCCGTTGGCGATGCGAGGGGTCCGGGGGAGAGAGACAGGAGAAGCAGCAGCAGCGACTGGGGTGAAGGCAGAAGAGTGGGAAGCAGCAGTCATGGGCAGGTCAGCCTCTTTTGTCAGCACAGTGGCTGTCTCCCCAAGTCCTTTAGAAATGAGATGGTTTCGTATCAACAGAAGCAGCTCTTTCTCCGGGAAGGAGATCCTTGACTGCGCAACAACATCTGCCTTCTGCAGTCGTGCCAGGGACACATCGGTGCCTATGAGAAGGGGCTTCCCTGACACCCGCTCGATGAGCTCAGCGGCATACTTGCAGAACTTGACGTGGTCACTGCGCTTGTCCTGCAGCACAGGTTCCTTCATCAGCTGCTGGATCTGGCAGCTGCTGAAAAGGGGCAGCTTGCTGATGATCTGCCGGACAGTGCTACTTCGAGACAGGCCCACCAGGGCCTTGCAGGCCAGGGCCCGGATCTGGTCTGCATCTGTGATGGGCATCTTGATGGACAGTAAGGACAAAAGCACCTTGATGCCATTGTTGGACTGGACCACATTCCACATCTTGGCCAGGGTGTGCTCGCTACTTTTGGGAGTCTGAGGCAGCTTCCTCCGAGGAGTTCCAGAGATAAACTTGCCAATACTGGAAATTCGGTTATCCGGGCCACACACACAGTTGATAATAATTTGAAGTGCTGACTTCTGAATCTCAGCATCATGGATAAAGAACTCACCCTCAGCCACTCCCAAAATAATGCTGATACCTAATAGGAAAGGGGGGAAGGAGGAAACAATACATTTTATATTCTTTCTCACAAAACTCATAGCCAACTTCAATGGTTGTTTCAGAGTTAAAACTGAAAGTTCTACTCATTTTGTTCCACTTAAAACTACCACACTTGTTTAAAAAAATGTACAAGGAATTGTTTGTGTAAAATACAATCAGTTGTACTATCATGTACCTTTTGATGCAATACCTCACGTACAATGGTTAAATGGGAGAATGATGTCAATACTTATGTGAGGGTCACTAAGGTTAATGTGCAATTTTTCCTAGGTAAGCAGATGAAAAATAGTGGGACTAAATTAAACCTTCAACAGGAAAAAAAACCCTCAGCCTGGCTGCTCCCGTGGCAGCGGAACCTTTCTGCTATATATGAGGAAAAGTCAAAAACCAGTGGCTGTGCCCTGCACTCTCCCCAGAGAGGTGCACCCCAGGACCCACAGCTGGTTACGCTACTTCCATGCTCACTTTAGCAGCAACCCTCAGCCCTGCTCTTGATGGAGGACAGCATTCTCAAATAGTGTATAACCCTTTTGTACTGTGACAGCTTCTATCCACTCTGAGCTGCTTGCCAATCACTAATTTTATTGGGGCTTAAGTTACAAAGCTGCTTAAGTTCTTGACTATCTGCCCCAACCATGTTTCCTATGCACCTCCTTCTCTGCACGTGACTCCACAGAGTACACGGTTTACACTATTACAGCAGAAATGCCTGTACACTCAGAACACAAGTTCACTAACATGACTCCATTATATGAAGCTGTATGGCATGACTTAGATGGGACAGGCAAGGTACCCTCCCCTACTACCTTCTTACTACTTAGGTCAGTTAAGTCACCACAAACAGAATAGCAAAGGAAAACAAATCCAGACCAACCAGTAACAAAATGGCAAGGTACAACCTACCTACAGTGGAGACGGTGGAGCCAGCCTCATCTAGCACATCCACTGATTCTGCCAATTGGAGCTGGATTTTTGGCACAACAGTAAGAATAGCCAGGACATCCAAAGCAAAGCGCACAGTGTCATTCCTGGACAGGAAGAAGAATTAGTCAAAGAGAAATAGGATACAACCACAAGAAACAACAGTTAAAAAAAGAGGGGGAGAGAGAGAGAGAGAATGGATAGGAATCACTACCGTGCGGCTCTGTCCCTAACCATAACATCAAGATGATTTATAAGTGACTGTGACATTACTTGCAAAAAACATGGAGATGGCATTTTCACCTATCAAACTGCTAAGACTGCAAACTAAGGATAATCCCCAATGCTGGTGACAACAAACATTAAATGTCCATCAATAGAACAAACTGTAGATAGGAATACAAGAGTTCAAATAAATATTAACACATATAAAACTCAAAAACATGAGAAAAAAATCTGCAAAAGATGCAGAAAATATTGATATAATGTAAAAACATACAAAAGAGGACTAGATTATTGTTCATGTGCACACAAATATGTAGTATAGACACATGGATGGAGAGAATGCACTCCAAGTTCAGAAGACTGGCCATTCTGGGGAGGCAGGAAATGCAAAAGAACTCCGAGAAGCACACAGAGCAACATGCCAACCCTGGGTATGGAGCAGTCATAGCATCTCTATACCTTTCTATATTTTAAAGTATTTCATAAAAAAGATGAATATGATTAAATACTATAACCTCAATTATATACATTTTCATACATTCTAGAAAGACTGAAGAAATTAACAGTGGCTAAAAGTAATTTTCTTCTTTTATGTAAGACTATATATTCTAAGCAAAAACAAATATTTAATTTTGTTTAAAAAAACTTTTAAAGGACATATTCCAAACATATTTAATTAATAATCCATGTAAGTTTTTACCAGTCCAAAATGTATTTATAACCTTCCTCATTATCTTTTGAGCTTTCATCACCTTTTAAACAAAATTCTCAAAGTAAATATAATAACCTACTTTAATACCCCAAAACAGCTGTTTTCAAAGTGTGGTTGGGGAACCTTTGGGGGTCTCTGAGACCCTCTCAGAAGGTTCTGTGATATGAAAGCTGTTTTCATAGTATGTTTCCTGTCCCACTCTTGGTATCTCACGGAGCTATCCAGGGGCTATGTCGTGTGATGTCACAAAAGATTAAATATAAAAACAAATATAAGAGATTAGGCCAGACATTTTAAAAACTTGCTGAAATCATTTGGTTTTATTTTGGAAATTTTTCATAAAAAATACTAACATGCAATGGATTCATATTATTTTTAAATAAATTCATAAATATATTCACATTTTCTGTTTTAATTTCTAATATGGTAAATATCACCAGATATGACACAAAACAAAAGCTCTTTGGAGTTCTCAATAATTTTTAATATGGGAAAGTGGTCCTAAGATCAGAAAGTATGAAACTGGATGCTCCAAAAGTATCCCCTGGATTTAATATCCTGGGATTTAGCAAACAAACTATACGCACCATAAATAGCCTCTCTGGTCTTTATGGCAATGGATGGATGGGAAAGTCAAGAGCTGTAGCTGGTTTGGCTCAGTGGATAGAGCATCGGCCTGGGAACTGAAGGGTCCCAGGTTCGATTCCAGTCTAGGGCACATGACTGGGTTGTGGGCTCGATCCCCAGTTGGGGGTGGCGGGGGGGGGGAGTGCAGGAGGCAGCCGATCAATGATTCTCCCTCTCCCTTCCTCTCTGAAATCTATAAAAATATATTTTTTAAAAGAACCACTATATATAAAAACTTTATTGTATTTTCTCTTCAGACTCCGTCTTTACCAAAATATCGTTTTAATTCCTTTTCCATCCTCATCCTATAAAACCCACCCACCCTCCTGATTGAATCAGCAGTCCTCTCAGAGCTTCATCCTGCTCTGCTGGCTGCTTTTAACTGAACTGTGAAAATCACATCAAAAGCAAAAAATACACTTTCATGTGAAGATAAGAGAAACATTCTATATGACTGTCAAGCAGCAGAGACATCTAAAGTCTAATGCCAAAGAACACTGGACCCCAGTCTCAGACAGGATTTCCACCCTACCTCTGCGCTATCGCCATGTAAATTATGTAACTCTCAGAGTACAGAAGTTGACCCCTGCCTGTGTGCAGTATTTATAATCACCAGGACCATAAATATAAATGAATAGTCTGTAAATTAATAAAGGTATCATCATGCTTAATCTAGTTTCTCAGCTTTGAGCCCAAAATTTCAATTCTGTTCACCAAATATTTGTTAAGCATACACTATGTGAAACCAACATCAACCTCAGCAGAAAGCAGAAGCTAATCTCCTTGGAAACCTCCCTCTGGTCCCACCTGGCATAATAGGTCTTCCAATTGCAGGCAATAGAGAT